GTTTATTTTGTTGATTTATGTAGATTATTACCCTGCTTTAGTAAGGGACATTACTTTATGTTTAGTAAGTGCTCGAATTTGAGCTAGGATTTTGTTTGTAGACTTTCCTTTCTGTTTTGCTGCAGTTTTAAACAAACTGATTGCTGCATGGATTTTTGTGCACAATGTAAATAAACCACACCTTTTTTTTTCGCATAAGAGACTGTTGTTCTATACCTGTTACCCGTGTCACTCCAGGGACTTCATATAAGGTGAAAAAAATAAACTTAGCTTTATTCAGCAACTGCCAAAAGTGATCAACGTTTCAGTCCCATGTCAGAACTTTCGTCAGGATATTCATTATGTGGTTAACAAGTGTTGAGCAACAAGCAGTGGTACTAATTGTTACATTAATTTACCTCATTTCAGTTTACGATTTACAGTCCCTATAACCCCTATTATCTGTGAGTGACAATGTAACCTTTACACTTTATTAGCATTATATATTATTCCTTCTTTTTTGGCTGACATCACCTATTTGTTCTGATTACATTTTGTAATGTTTTAAATATGGAGATTATTTTCAACTACTTGAAATAAAAGTTGCATTTTTTTTTTTATAAAGTGAAGCTGGGATTGTTTCCTTATCTCTTTTTTGAATTGTTTAACGATCTTGGGGTTTTTAAACCCTATGTGCCTCTCCCAATTAGATGTGAGTTCCTCAATTATTTTGTTTGTTGCAAGCCAATTCATTGTTGCTGGGCCTCTGTCTAATCCCTGTGCTCTAGACATCTGCCTAATGGTTAATCCTTCTCTGGGTTTAATCATTTGGTCTTAGTTTTTCAATTAGCAAATAGTAGATGTGGTGTGTGTGTGTGTGTGTGTGTGTGGTTTTTTTTTTTTTATTTTTATTTTTTTTTAGTATGAATGAAAATGTAAAAAGCCTGTCAGCTTCAAGGTTTACCAGGCTTTCATCCAATAAATATGATTTATGAAGAGGAAAATAACAAGTTAATTGTTTTTTGAAAACACATAAATAATGTACTGGATGTGGTTAGTCCACCACTTATCGATCTGCCCAAGAGATGTTACAGCTAGCAGCAGGGTGACTCACCATGATATCAAGCCAGAGTTTAAACCACTTGCTGAGATCCTACGCACATAAAGCACTGTCCATGGTATAAATAAAAAAAACAAAAAAACACAAATGACTTAATTATAGGGATTACCACCTTCCTGAGCAGGATTAACCATGTTCACTTTTGCTAATGAATTGGCAATTTGTTGGAGATTACAATATGATTTTCTCATGAGAAATTACGGTTTCTTTTTAATTTAGGACTAAATCTGGTTAATCCAATACTGGTGGAAGAAGCAGAAGAAATAAAGCAAAATATACGCAGATTAAACCAAGAGGTATGAGCATAATTGAACCTATCCAAATTTTTAGAACAATTTATCAAGTCTTTAGCTAGAGTTGGACTACAGTTCATGTTATTAGCATATAATGTTCTTTCTTATCCAAAATATGACAGTCATTCTAGTCACCTAATTGCATACATGTTGAAATTTAATGTGCTAGCCAGGTGGACACTTCAATATTTGTGATGTTTCCGTCTGCATCGTACACTCACACTCACACTATTTCCATCGCATATTTAACACTGACAGATCCATTTTAAAATGTTACATTCTCAACAAACCTAACATGGTGTTCATGTCTTACAAATTGTTCCAGTATAACTTTATTTATTCACAATACAAAATATAAAGGGAATAAAGCTGGATCTACAAGAAAGATAATAGCATAGTGTAATATAGTTAAAACAGACGAATGCACTGCGCAGCTGGAAAGAAACTAACAGGGTTGGTGGTTATTATATCGTTTCAGGGTGCCTTGCCTTAGATATCTGAGGGGCTAATCCAGAGATGACCTCCTGCTTCCTTTGGTGGATTCCACACTCAGGATAATTTGCACGACTCAATGTGGGTAATAAAAAGTAACACTTTATTTTCAATTAAACATACAAAATGTAGAATTATTAATTATCCCTCTTAGGGTATATTTTAGCTCTTATATTGTATTTTAATTTGTTTATTACTATTTTTATTTTCTTTGGGCCCTGAGCAAGCCCTATTTTGAATGAAACATTATAGGACCTTTTTTTTTTTTTTTTTTTTTTTTTTTTTTTTTTTTTTCTTTTTGTAAAAAATAGTGTTACTTTTTAATGCCTACATTGAGTCCTGAAAATTATCCTGAGTATGGAACCCACCAAAGTAAGCAGGAGCAGATATTTGAATGAGCCACTCGGATATCTAAGGGGAGGCACCCTGAGCGATATAATAACCACCAAAACTGTATGTGTATTTCCAGCTGTGAAGTACATTAATTTTAACTATATTACACTATGCAATTATCTTTCTTGAAGATCAACAGCTGTATTCCCTTTATATTTTGTATTGTGGCTTTTTTTTGTAAAGGGACATATACTGGGATATCCCCTGGGGAAGCTGTACCTTATGCTACAAGTGGTTTTACTTCACACCTAACACTGAGGGTGAGGTTGTGGATTGTTTGTATGGTTCTTAACATTATTTATTGGCATCTCTCCAGATTTGGAAATATCTTTTGGCCATGCAGAGCATACAAAAAAGACAATAGAGGAAGAGTTTACATTTAATGATTATACGACTCACATAGAAAGGTAACATGAAGTTAATTAACAATGAGTGGGTTATGCACTTTTTTATAAAAAGTGCTTCAAATATTCAATCATCTTTAAAATATTCTAAAACTCATTGAGGAGAAAACAAATAGGCAGGGAAAAGTCAGAATCTGTAGGAAATGTCATTCTTAGACAATTGAAAGGAAACTATAGTCCTAGGAAAACAAAGATGTATTCCTAGCCCTATAGTGCACCTCTGCATCGCCTACCCCCCGGCTGCAAAGTTGAAAGGGTTAAAAGCACTTTTCTCACTTACATGATTCCAGTGATGGTGTTCTCTGCCAACGTCAGCCGGCGGGGGTACTAATGCGCATGTGCGCACAATTGCATTTAGATTACCCCATAGAAAAGTATAGAATCAAGCTTCTCTATTGGGTATTATATGACACTGGATGTCTTCATGCAGAGCGTGAGGACGTCCATCATCAGGTGACCAAAAGTCGCCTAACCACCCGAAAGCACCTCTAGCAGACAGCCACTAGAGGTGGCATTATCCCTGCAATGTAATTATTGCAGTTTATCAATAACTGCAATAATTACAATTGCAGGATTAAACTGACAGTGGCACTGCACCCAGACCACTTCAATGAGCTAAAGTAATTTGGGTGCCTTTAGTGTCCCTTTAAATCATATGATGGGCATTTCACTTAAAATATGAAGAATAAAATATATAGCAATATTTTTTTCAAGAATAAAGTATGATATGTAACCTCATTCACAATCCTCTTTTTTGCTCTACTTTCCAGATAAACAATTTAAACCAGGAAGTGTCTCACCTCAGCAAAGAGTTGCAACACATGATACATTTATTACAAGCTCTACTGGCTGCCCAGCAGAACAACCCACCCATGGCATGTCCCTACACTGTACAAGTTGTATCCACCCCATCTGCATCCCATTTTGGCTGCAGTGAACAGCAACCTAAGTCCAGCTATCCCATCCCACACTCTCTGCATCTGATGCAGGAATCCACTTTGCCTAGGGCACTTGCACATTCACCTTTGGCTTCAGACATCCCATACTACCAAGTTCAATTCACAAGAGTTTCTCCAGACACATGCCCAAGGCAAAGAGATACAGAGACTTTCTATGCTACAGGGGACTGCTGCGACATTCCCACTAACACAATACGTTCTCCTGGGCCACCACTCTCTCTAATAGAGAAATAGAGAGGGTAAGGCTTATACAGCAAACTGAAGACATGTCTCCAAGCCCTGATACTTCCATCTGTGGTTCTCCAGTCCCAGGACCTCCAGGGGTGGGTCAACACCTCTATACTATGGCCTCTGTGAATTCAGTCCACTCTTTCACAGCTATTCACTCTCAGAACATCCAGTCTCAGACAAAACCTAGTAGAGACTCCAAAAACCAGACTTGAGTCAATACAAAACTTTTACAAGAATATTATTGAGTAATTTCATGTTTTTGTCTGACATCTTTTAAAAAAAAAAAAAAATAATAATAATAATAATAATTAAGCAAAAAGAGCTAAATGCACATTAGCTGCATGTGAACAACCTTGCTATTTTTATTAGCTGAACATTTTTTTTTTTTTTGTTTCATAGGATTTGGGGATGGAAATGACTTGATTCCAGACTATGCATGATATGGACTTTTCAAACTTTTCAGATAATTTGTACAGAAAATGTTTCCTATACGCCATCACCTGGCACCCCGACTGGGTACCTCCGGTGATGGATGCTCCTAGCGCTTCCTGAGGACTCCAAGCTCTCCAGCCGACACCATAACCACCGTAGACTCCTTCAGAGAGCAAGCCAGAAACAAGCTCTTACAAGAGCTTAGTAGTGATATAGCAAGGGAGTATGCCTAGTATGTAGCAGAGGAATCCAACAATCATTAGAGTTTCATGGAATCCCTAAAGAAATGCTCCAATAAAAAAGTGTGTGTGTGTGTGTGTGTGTATATATATTTATGCAATTCCCTAGATTTAAAAGAATACTCCTGTCCCTGACAGTACTTCAGCAAGCTTAAAGGGCTAAAAGGACCAGACCATAGCAACTTCATCTCAATATAGTTTTTATAGTACATTCACGTACTGGATGCTGTCTTGGGTTAAAGCAGTGGTTCCCAAACCAGTCCTCAAGGCACCCCTATTGTTCAGAGGATTTAGAGATTATCCAGTTGTATCTAAGGTGTGTTTTTGTTTTTAATATAAAAATACCTTAGGCACAACCAGTGGTGTATCCTGGTTTTGTGCTGCCCTAGGCCCCCCCCCCCCCCTCGGCCCCCTCGCCTTGCGCCCCCCCCCATGCCTTCTAAATACACATACACACTCACTGACAGACACATATACACTGTGTCATAAACACACATTCACTGTCAGACACATACACTAACAGACATACACACTCACTAACAGACACATACAGTCACTTTTTTTTTTTTTTCCTCAATACCCCAGCCTCCTTACCTTTGAGATTGCTGGGGTGGATTATCACTTTCCCTGGAGTCCAGTGGGGCTGCTGGGCGACCAGACAGTGACTGCAGTCTGCGAGGGAGCACTGATCCTCCTGTTCAGCTCCCTCGCGCGCGGCGTAGTAATGCCGGAGCCAGAATGATGTCATATGAACAGGAGGATTAGTGCTCCCTCTGCCGCTGCCAGCCTAAGAAGGGCCCAAGAGGCTGGCAAGGCATTTGCCAGGGCGATTGGGGGGGGGCTTTTTTTTGCCACCCCCCAGAAAGTGCGGCCTCGGGGTAAATGCACCCCTGGGCACAACTGGGTAATCCCTAAATCCTTGATTGCTAGGGGTGCCTTGAGGTTTGGAATCCACTGGGTTAAACTGTTAGTAAAATGAACTGCAATGCCCCCCACTTCATCTGGAGTGTTTTCTGTGTGTTTTCATTAAGGTTTGTTGATGGGGAATTAGTAATAGATTGAGAGTGTCAACTGAAGTTTTCATGCTATCAGCAATGCCTGGTCCAAGGCTTCCTGAATGAAGTCTTGGACCTTCAGAGAAAGTGGAGGGGCAGAGCAATTGTGCATCCTCTTCCAGACTGAGGTTAAACCTTATAACAGTTTAACCCCTTAAGCTGAGATGCCAACTGGGAACCCCTCGCACCATAACAACTTAATTGCAGTGAAGTTATTTTGCCTATTGTGGTCATTTAACCCCTTAAGGACCAAACTTCTGGAATAAAAGGGAATCATGACATGTCACACATGTCATGTGTCCTTAAGGGGTTAAGCTTGTGGAAGTGCTGTAGGGCACGGGAGAGTCATTTTAAATCTAAAGATTTGGAAAAGCGATTATTCATTTCCACAATGGTCTTTTTCGAATATACCTATGCATTCAAGTGTTTGATTTGTGGTAAGTAAAAAAAAAAAAAAGTGTCTGCATTATAAAGGGTAGCAGTTATAAAGAGGAGTAAATTATCCACATGTTAAACATGATTTCCCAATAACTAGAAAGCAAGACAAACTGAACTGAAGCTGCACTGCACAAAAAAGAACATATGTCCATATTAAAAACAATGTTACTAATATACAGTCGTTTATTCCCTAAACTGGGATTTGTGGAGCATTAAGGGACTTGCACAATTTATAACACCAATATAAAAAGGTATTCCTAACCTTTATGGACTAAATTTCCATTTTTTTTTTCAATTATGCACAATGTATTAATCAATAACTATAATATAAGATGTGTATGCAAAGAGTTAAATTCCACTTTGCTGGCTTCTTAGAAACTTTTTAAAGCTATATACTGCACACAAAAAAAAGAACAAAGCAAACCTGTGATATATTTTTTCTCATCTAATACAATCTAACCCTATGGGAGAAATACTTGCCATTTGCCATAAGCATATATCTAAGATCATTATTAACATTAAAATATAAACTTAAATGCCAATATTGCAGCAGCAGGGTTAAGGGGGACAGGGACACTGCTCCTAGCCCACTTCAATCATATGAGGTGCTCTAGGTTGCTATAGTGTCCTTTTAAAGGACAATTACTTCCCAGCAGCATACAGAAGAGAGGTGAACTGAAACTTGTTGTCCTTCTCATTTACAGTGTGTGTCCTGCCATGTCTAGACTAAATTGGATTTAATTTGCTACATTTTAAAATATAAATCTAAAAGAATTATAGTGAACTAAAAAGGTTAACAACAATGACAGGTGATTTTCAATGTTGTATCCAGTAGTGTAGTTTCCAGGCAAGCAAAAGTTCTTCTTTAATTCATCTATTTGTAAGTGGATTACATGTTTAGAGTTGCTGATTTGCACGTTTAATATTTTTCTATTTATTTTGATGATGAATTACTATTTGAATATGTTAAGACATACACATTCATACATATGCACACACGTAGCAATGAATAGGAAACCAGGGATTGGCAAAAGGGTTTGTATTTTTACAGCCTGAGGCAAATGAGTTGATCACCATAGGAAAAGTAGAGTCAGAGTAATTGCCTATGAAAGAGGGACGTTTGATTAAACCATTTTTTATTTTGATCTTATTTATTAGAATTTTATTTTAATGTATTTATAATGCATAAAATAGTGGTACTTCAGAGCTGCTCTTAAGGATCTGAGTTTCTTTTATTGACGTTAAGCCTTTCTTTCCGAGCTAGGTTTTCAGAAACTGTACAGTGTAAACATTCAGGACTGTTTTTTTTTTGTTTTTTTTTTAATTGAGAGGCCAGGGAGTTTATATAATAAAGAGTCATGAGTTGAAAAATGTGCAAAAAAATTAGCAAACATACAAAATAATTTGCATTAACTTACCTTTTAGTGCACGAATTTCAGACATCAGCTGAGCAGTAGTCATGTTGCGAACCGTCCGCGAACTTGCCGCGAACGGTTCGCCACGGTTCACCACGAACCATTCGCGGCGAACTCCGGTCAGCTGACACATCCCTGCCAATCTCCGGCAGACCCGATTGGGGGAGGGGGGCTTTTTTTTTGCCACCCCCCAGAAAGTGCAGCCCGGGGTAAATGCACCCCTGGGCACAACTGGGTAATCCCTAAATCCTTGATTGCTAGGGGTGCCTTGAGGTTTGGAATCCACTGGGTTAAACTGTTAGTAAAATGAACTGCAATGCCCCCCACTTCATCTGGAGTGTTTTCTGTGTGTTTTCATTAAGGTTTGCTGATGGGGAATTAGTAATAGATTGAGAGTGTCAACTGAAGTTTTCATGCTATCAGCAATGCCTGGTCCAAGGCTTCCTGAATGAAGTCTTGGACCTTCAGAGAAAGTGGAGGGGCAGAGCAATTGTGCATCCTCTTCCAGACTGAGGTTAAACCTTATAACAGTTTAACCCCTTAAGCTGAGATGCCAACTGGGAACCCCTCGCACCATAACAACTTAATTGCAGTGAAGTTATTTTGCCTATTGTGGTCCTTAAACCCCTTAAGGACCAAACTTCTGGAATAAAAGAGAATCATGACATGTCACACATGTCATGTATCCTTAAGGGGTTAAGCTTGTGGAAGTGCTGTAGGGCACGGGAGAGTCATTTTAAATCTAAAGATTTGGAAAAGATTTATTAGAGCAAAATCGAAACAACATTTCGGCCCACAACAGGGCCATTGTCAAGCTAACCACAAGTGTATTGATTTTCTTTTCTAAAGGGTAATCTATTCAACAATTAACACAATGTATATCAAGACATAGATAATCAATCACGTATCCCATTACTAACATGTTAATAATGCATACCAATAAAGCATAGAAATTGTTTTAAAAAAAAAAATAGAAACATCAAGTACACAAGTGTCAGATACATTATCCTCCAGCAATCATAGCAATTAAAAATATGGTGTAAAAAAATAAATATATATATCCAAAATAAAAGTAGTGATTTATCACTACTCTATTATCAATCCTGTTTGTTGCAGGAAAAAGACTTACCCCATAACTAGAAGCCTCAGAAAATAAAAATTGTCCAACTGACTGGCATAAAAGACCTCATAATAGAAAATAACAAACACCATAAGGATCATGGGGACAGAGCACTCCCTATCCTAGGGACAAAACCAGAAAACAAACTTGGATTCCTAGACCTTCAGTATCGGCAGACTATGGAAGTTCCAAAGGGTCAAAAATCAACATAAGGCAAAAGTTTTTGGAAAAAATAATAATCACATAATTGCTGGATGCAATGTAAAAAAATACTTATACCACAGTTTGGATGTAAATCCAAGGCTGGAAATAAACCAGTGTATAGTGAATATTATATAATGAAAACAAAATAAAAACATGGAAAATAAGAGGAAAAATCTATCTTCATTATAAGTGAATGAATACATGTATAAAATTATGAATTCAAAGCCATTATTCTGTTATTTAACATTGATGGTGGACAGTCCTATTTTCATATAAGTTCTTTCTCAAACTAAAGGCTAGTTAAATTGCAAACACCTTAATATACCATCCAAACCTGATTCCATAGCATATAACATTTTATATATGCAAATAATTTGTAAATAAATCAAATCACCAACTTAAGTGAAGTTATACAACGTTAAAACATGTGTAAAAACTATTGTTATATCTCAAGTCAATAAAGTGCTGTGTGCTAATGATAACCTGACATACAGCAGTGTGATAAAAATAAAATAAAGTGATTTTAAAGGGTGGTACCACCCATAAGTCATATAATAAAGTGCTACTTTGAAATAGTGTTATAAAGTTGGTATTTGGTAAAGTGTACATGTTTTAAATAGATTGGGAGTCCAAAAGACTTCCTAAAAGTGCATTTTAATAAGAATACTACAAAATCTAACAAGAATGAATATTTAGTAAGCGTCGATCCTCAAGTAGGTAGAATTCATGCTGTGGTTGTGAAGATGAAGAAAATCTGAAAAAAAGAAGAAAATTAGTAATCATTAGAGATTCTTAAAAACAAGTAAAAATACAACAAATTAAAGGGTTCATATCATATTCGGAGTTAAGTCCTCTAGGGCTAAGTGTGTCCAACTCACGAATCTAAAAAGCCTCCCAGTACAGTAATCATTTTGCTCTGTCTCCTCTCCTTATTGATTCTGGGATCTGTTCAATTATTTGACATTTTAATTGAGCAATATTGTGTCTATGCTGCAAAATATGGGCTGAAAGGGGAAGTTTTATCAGATAGATATAGATCACAAAAGAGGAGATGCAGGTAAAAAAATGGTTAATAGAATACTTTTTTTCATTGTGGGGGTGATAGAACCAGTGGCCCAAGAACATAGAGTGACATGACAAACAATTATCTCATGGGAAATTGCCTTTGTTCTCTTTGATAGGATTCACTTTACTTTTCAGATGAGCCTTAACCAATTTATCCCTTAATAAAGTAGGGCGCTTATAGGCTATCATAGGCCATCTGGCGAATTCCACTATCCCCCGATGACTCTCAGTCAAAATGTGCCAGTGTCTAAAGATCTTCTGTATCGAAGGGGACTGTGCACAGAATCTTGTGACAAATTTTACACGATTTTTACCGTTAAACTTATTTCTAGCGACAGTCAACTCTGTCTGTTGCTTTTCAGTCACTTTTTTGAGTTGTTTATCCAAGATTGTCACTGGATCTGGACCTATTCCTGAATCTCTCCACCATGTTTGTTAATTGCGCATTAGTCTTGTTTTCTTGGGACACCAATTGTTTAACTCTTCTAAATTGGCTTTTTGGGATAGAGTTGAATATTGACAATTGATGCAATCTTGTGAAATGCAGTAAAGTGTTCCTATCAAGGGGTTTTCTATAGAGATTAGTAGTAAATTCACCTTCCCTTTTTTCAATAAGAATGTCAAGAAATTGTAATGTGTGTAATTTATAATGCATAGTGAATTTAATGTCATCCAAGCATTAATAAAATGAAAAAATTCTTCAAGGGATTCCAATGTGCCACACCACAACACCAGTATATCAACCATAAAACGCCACCACCTTGTGGCGTACTATTGGTTTAGCACGTTGAGGTAAGTTTTATTTTCTTCCGATTCTGCCATAGAAATACAAGTGTATGTGGGTGCCAACTTAGAACCCATGGAAGTACCCCTCAACTGCAAGAAAGAATCATCCAAGAACAAAAAATAGTTGTCAGAATAGAGAAAATTTATGACAAACTTACCGTAATTTTCTTTTCCTGGCTATTTCTCATGGCAGCATCACTTATGGGTAGCTCCTCCCTTAGTAGTCACAGGACAGGAATTAATTAGATTAATTAATCAGACTGATAGGTATAAAGAGTCCCTCCTCCCCCTACACCTCAGTCCAATTATAAAGCTGAAATAGAGAATGGGCGGGAACCCTGATGCTGCCATGAGAAATAGCCAGGAAAAGAAAATTACGGTAAGTTTGTCATAAATTTTCTCTATTCCTGGCTAATCATGGCAGCATCACTTATGGGTAATACCCAAGCTTCACAAATCTAGGGTGGGAAATAATAACTTAAAAATCACACCAAGCCGAACACATGCAGCAAAGAAAGTTTAATATCAACTGGATAAAGAGACCGTAGAGAGGACACTCTTCCCAAAGGCGGTGGAACGAGACTCCACATCAAGTTTGTAGTGCTTCATAAACGTCATCGGAGAAGACCAAGTGGCTGCTCTGCAAATATCATCGTATGGAACCTCTGCCCAGTTAGCCCAAGAAGTTGATAATGCTCTATTAGAATGAGTTTTTATCACCTGTGGAGGTGATAGACCTTTAGAGACATACGCCTTCTTAATTATCAGAGAAATCCAACGTTTCAACGTAGACAAAGAGGCCGCCTCACCTCTCCTAGCTCCTAACGGCAAAACGAAGAGTTGGTCCGTCTTACGGAAAGACTCAGAACTTCTAAGATACGCAGACAAGCAGCTCATGACATCCAAACGTTGCCATCTAACCTCTTCCTGAGAAGAGGGGTTGGGGTAAAATGATGGAAGAACCACTTCTTGAGAGAGATGAAACTGAGAAACCACCTTAGGAAGAAACTCTGGCTTTGGTTTCAGACATACCCTATCTTGGTAGAATTGTAAACAAGAAGAAGATGTAGAAAACGCCTTAATCTCTGAAATCCGTCTTGCGGAAGTAATCGCCACCAGAAACAAAGTCTTATACGTCAGGAGAGTAGCATCCAAACCTTCAAGAGGAACAAACAGATCCTCCGTGAGATAATTTAGCACCATAGGAAGGTCCCAAGGAGGGGTAGTAGACCTGGAAGGAGGCCTCAACCTGAAGGCCACTTTGAAGAACCTGGAAATCAAAGGATCCGAAGCCCAAGAGATGTTGCACAAAGCTGAGAGTGCCGAAGACTGAACCTTTAAGGTGCTGAGGCTAAGGCCCTTGTCCAGGCCCTCTTGCAGAAACTCCAAAACTTCAGTATTGCTAGGATGTAGAAAGTCCACATTATTGGATGATGCCCAAGACTGGAACACATCCCAGACCCTATGGTAGCATGAGGAAGTGGAAGCCTTTCTAGAGAGCAAAAGGGTATTGATCACAGCCTCCGAGAGACCTAGAACTTGGAGTCTTTCCTTCTCAAGATCCATACCCCCAGTTTGAGGCGTTCTGGATGAGGATGGAATACCGGGCCCTGTGTAAGCAGATCCTCCATCACTGGCAGAGGCCAAGGCTGTTCCTGGCTCATCGTGGTCAATAGGGGGAACCACGGTCTCCGAGGCCAAATTGGAATTACGGCAATGACTTTCCTGCCTTCCGACCAAACCTTCCTCAGGAACCTGGGTATCATAGGTAGGGGAGGGAAAGCATACCCCAGATCGAACGACCAAGGGAGAGAGAGAGCATCTTGGCCCAGTGCCTGACGGTCCGGGTGGAGAGAGAAGTAATTCTCCACCTGGTGATTCTGAGATGATGCCATCAGGTCGATCTGGGGCATGCCCCACCGATGAACAATTTCTGCAAAGATCACCGGGTGAAGATGCCATTCTCCCGGAAGAATTTCCCTTCTGCTGAGGAAGTCTGCTGTTACGTTCTCCGAGCCTGGGAGATAAAAGGCCTTTAGACCTTGAAGAAACGTCATGGCCATAACCATTAAGGGAGCGAGTTCTTCCAGCAGCAATCTGCTCCTCGTGCCACCTTGGTTGTTCACATACGAGGCCACCGCTCGGTTGTCTGTTTTGATTAGGACCCACGAGTTCTTTAGCCTTGGTAGGAACCTCAAAACGGCCTTGTAAACCGCTCTTAGTTCCCTTAAATTTGAGTGTAGGCGACTCTCTTCTCGGGTCCACTTCCCTTGAGTCCATACCGAACTGAAGTGGGCACCCCATCCAAAAGAACTGGCATCTGTCGTAATAACCTTCCAAGGGGGGTCTTCCAACGGGAAGCCAGTCGTCAAATTCTTCTCGCTACTCCACCAGTTTAAGGTTTTTCTTACCGGAAGGGGAAGAGATATCACCTGTTCCCAATTTGCTTCCACTCTGTTGAACTGGAGAAGGAAGCAGTTCTGAACCGGACGGAACTTCCACTGGGCCCACTTCACCAAGCCTATTGTAGACGTCAAGGAACCTAGGAGGCTCATGACTACTCTTGCAGGTGCAGCTTCGAGATCTTGTAGGCCTCTTACTTTGTCTCTGATCTTCTCGACCCTTTCCAGAGACAGGAACACGTGTGCAGACACGGTATTCACCACCGCCCCCAGGAAAATAATCGTTTGCGCAGGAACAAGGGAGCTCTTTTCCAAGTTCAGGAGCCAACCATGGTCTTGAAGGATGGACATTGCGACTAACGAATGTTGAGCCACGACTCCTTGAGATGGACCCAGGATAAGAATGTCGTCCAAGTAATGGAATATCTCGATACCCTTTTCCCTTATAAAGGCTATTAAGGCAACCAGTACTTTTGAGAATGTTCTTGGGGCTAGACTGAGGCCAAACGGTAGACCCCGGAACTGGAAGTGCCTTCCTAGCGCCCAAAACCTGAGAAACCTTACATGATCTTGATGTATCGGAATATGATAGTAGGCGTCCCTTAAATCTATTGAGGTCATCCAGTCTCCTTTCTTGACACACTTCAAGATGGTCCTCAAGGATTCCATTTTGAATGTCCTTACGTTGAGCAAGGAGTTTACGCCTTCAAATTCAAGATGAAACGCCATTATCCTTGAGGTTTTGGGGCCAAGAATACTGTGGAATAAACGCCTTGGAACCATTCTCTTTTGGGAACTTCTTCCACCACTCTTTGTTCCAGGAGCACAGAAATGCAGGATCTCATGGCCCTTCGTTTGATGCCTACCGGCACCTTTGATTTTTTGAAGAATGCAGTTTTTGGGTGAGAAGAGAATTCTATTCTGTAACCTTCTTTCACTATCGAAGTGACCCATAGGTCTAAAATATTGCTGGCCCATCTGGGGTAAAATAACTTCAGTCTTCCTCCCACCATCCCCGAACGGGCCTGGAGACCTTCAGAAGTTCTTTCCTGAGATTCTAGGACCCCTACCTCTGGAAGCCTTATTGGAAGATGAGTGCGGATAGGATTTCCATGTGGAATTCCTGGAAAACTCCCTACCTGGCTTATAGCTTCTGCTGTCCCGAAAGGACCGATCCTTGAAGCGCTTGGTCTTCCAGGAGGAGGAAAAAGTCTTCCTGCCAGTTTGAGGTAAGAACGCCTTTTTCCCATCAGCAGCTTTTTGGATAGCATCTTCCAAAATCTTTCCAAAGAGGAGATCCCCCTGAAACGGAAGAGCACACAGGGAAGCCTTAGAGGCATAGTCAGCACCCCATGAATGCAGCCACAAAGCCCTTCTAGAAGCCACCGACAGGGCCATGCTTTTAGCAATCATGCGAGTGATATCCAGGGAGGCCTCTGAACAGAATTCCGTGGCTAGATTAAGGTCCTTGAGGCTTTCCAACAGATGCTCCCTTCGGATACCTTGCTCAATGTCATCCTTCAGATTAGCGAGCCACACTTTCAAGGCTCTGGAAAGAGTCGTCAGTGCCACTGCCGGATGAAGGGCGGACCCAAGGGCCAAGTAGGCTTTAATTAGGTCTCCATCCAAACGCTTCTCCATAGGCTCCCTGAGATATGCCATAGAGTCTATAGGCAGTGTAGTTTTCTTAGCCATATGGATCACTGCCGCGTCAATTTTAGGAACAGAGTTCCACAGACCGCAATCCACCGCAGAGTACGGATAAACCCTCGCAAACTTACTTTTTAAGGTGGACTTCTTTTCAGGTTTATTCCATTCTTGAAGGATCATATCCCTGATTGACGTATGTACTGGGAAAGTAGGTCTGTTAGGCTTTAGGTCCTCAAAAAACCTGTCAGCCTCCTTCAAATCAGATCTTTCTTCAGTGAGACTAAGCGTGTCTCTAAGAAGGGCAATAAGTCTATCCACAGACCTGGAGTCCAGAGACCTGGAGGTATGATCAGCATCCTCCTCACCATCATCCGAAACCTCCCAGACATCAGGGTCCTCATCAGAGCTGGAAGACTGAGGTTCTGCTCTGCGTCTCTTACTTGGACGACTAGAACCCGTGGTGGTCCTAAAGCCCTCAGCAATAGCCTGAGAAATCCAGAGCTTAAGGTCATCTTGAGGAGAGCTCCTACTAGGGGCATCAGCGACTTCCAACAAGCATTCCCTGCAAAGGTTCCTTCCACTCGGAGCGGATGAAGAACAATTAATGCATTTATTTGACTTATCCCGAGATTTTCTCGCTGGAGAGTCCAAATGAACGCTGGGGCTGGAAAAAAGCCATATATGACATATATTACAGGCTCAGTATGGCACTCTTTTAACAACCCCCCCCCCCCTACACCATAAATAAATGGCTCACCTATGTTTTCTAGAGAGGGATCTTGCAGAGGCAGAGGGAGAATCCATACTATAACAAGAAACAAAACAAACTTCAGGACCAAAATTCCCTAAAGGGAAAGAGGCAGACTGACCAGAAAAAAGTCCAACAATGAGCAAGAATCAGCAAACCTACCTTAAGAGCAGAGCAACCACTATGCAGCCAGAAAGCAAACAGAAGCTGAGCCAGACTGGTATTCCAAGCTGTAGAGAGAAATCCGAAGAAAGGGCAGCATGAACAGCACTAAGGGGGCTGAATTAATCCCCTTAAATAGGTCCGGGCGGCGAACAGCTGACCGCCCGGTTCGCGCATGCGCAGAGCGGTGGAACGCACGCTATGCGTTCCACTTGCTCGCAACCGGCAGAACACTTCCGGTTTCGCCGGAACTGGCCGCAAAACAGCCGGCTGGAACGCAAATGCGTTCCAGCCCCCAAACCCCAAGCCCCAGAGGGGGGCCCAAGGGCCAGGGAACCCTGGGCATGTCCCCCCAAGCCAGAGAACCGGAAAAGGGGCAAGAAGGAGCAACAGAGGAAGGGAGAGACCCTCTCATCATGGATTCCCCAAGAACTGCCCACAAGGTATGAGGGGGGGTATATAACCCCAATTAGTAGGGGCAGGTAGTAACAGGGGAATTTTTAAGGCATAACCAACCCCACCATAAACCAGAAGCATTAGTGTCTCCCTCAAACACTTACTTTCCCACGGTGCAGTTCAGTACTTACACTGAACCTGACCCAGTTAGTCCTGCTCATGCAGGCTGTTTACTGGGTCCTTCAAATGAAGAGAGGCTGAACTTCATTTGGAACGAACCCACGACAAACGCAGGAAGGTGAGCCATAAAACAAAATTGTAAAAAAGTCCTGTAGAACCTGCTAAGGACAGGAAAAAAGACTGAGGTGTAGGGGGAGGAGGGACTCTTTATACCTATCAGTCTGATTAATTAATCTAATTAATTCCTGTCCTGTGACTACTAAGGGAGGAGCTACCCATAAGTGATGCTGCCATGATTAGCCAGGAAAGTAAAATTTTCAACAGTTCCATCAAAAGATTCAAAATAAAAAAGAAAGGCAATTTCCCATGCTATAATTGTGTGTCATGTCACTCTGATGATCTTGGGCCACTGGTTCTATCATCCCCACAACAGAAAAAAAATATTCCAATAGCCAGTTTTTTACCTGCACCTCCTCTTTTGTGATCTATATCTATCTGATAAAACTTCCCCTTTCAGCCCATATTTTGCAGCATAGACACAATATTGCTCAATTAAAATGTCAAATAATTGAACAGATTCCAGAATCAATAAGGAGAGGAGACAGAGCAAAATGATTACCTGCACATCCTCTTTTGATTTATGTCTTGAAACAGAAACATAGAATCTGACGGCAGATAAGAACCATTCGGCCCATCAAGTCTGCCCGATTTTCTAAATACTTTCATTAGTCCCTGGCCTGATCTTATAACTAGGATACCCACTGTGTTAACCTATACCACCTCATCCACTACCCTCTCAGTAAAGTAATACTTCCTGGTATTATTTTTAAACCTTTGCCCCTCTAATTTAAGATGATGTCCTCTTGTGGTCGTTTTTCTTCTTTTAAATATAGTCTCCTCCTTTACTGTGTTGATTCTCTTTATGTATTTAAATGTTTCTATCATATCCCCCTGTCTCGTCTTTCCTCCAAGCTATGCGTGTTAAGATCCTTTAACCTTTCCTTGTAAGTTTTATCCTGTAATCCATGAACCAGTTTAGTAGCCCTTCTCTGAACTCTCTCCAAAGTATCAATATCATTCTGGAGATACGTTTTCCAGTACTGCGTACAATACTCCAAGTGAGGTCTCACCAGTGTTCAGTATAACGGCATGAGCACTTCCCTCTTTCTACTGCTAATACCTCTAACTATACAACCAAGCATTCTGCTAGCATTTCCTGCTGCTCTATTACATTGTCTGCCTACCTTCAAGTCATCTGAAATAATTACTGTTAAGACACCCCCAGTGTCTTTAAATGAAGCCGCTGTTTAGTCGACCTTCCCCTGATGCAGTACCAATAATCTCCATTCGCATAACCGTAGTGCACAAACCAAACTCAGGGGAAGCGGCAATCTCCCGACCGGGATCAGTGAAAGGCTCCAACATCCCGAACGGAACTCCACGAACAGCTGCTAGCCGCCGAACAATAATATCCACCAAGCGGCTTTCGGATCCATCCAGCAGTCTCTAAACGCAAATAATAAATCCCCCCCAATAACGAGACAGAAGCTCCGCATTGAGGGTTAGACAGGATCTGGGTTTACTGTGGGCTACCTGCCCGTATTTATGCAGGTCTCCCACTTGGTGGACACTCCCCTAGGGGACCAAATGGGAGACTTAAATGACAGACAGATATGGGGACATTCCAGACACACAGTCACAGTTTTTACCCACAATGCACTATGTTTCCCTCCCCTCTGCCCTGGAGATAATTACCAAGTAACTCAATTATCTCCAGGACAAAGCCAGTCGCCATTTTAAATATAAAATCATAAAATACATAAAAATACATAACTTCACAAAAACCGAACATTTCCCATTCGCATCACATATCCCCAGATAGCCTGGATCTGAGTGCATATTATTAGCGAATAGCGCTCAGATCCCACACACATAGTTCAATCGCCATGGAGTCAAAGTTCGGTATACAAATGACTCCATGGGAAGGCTATCTGGGTTAAGTCCTTTTGTATGCTTCAAACCTCCTGAACGACTGGTATTCATATGCTTTCGTGGAGGCAGCCAGGCGTTCCGTTGTTTCAGCGGTGTTCGGCAGGAAAAGTGTCAGTTTTTAGTTCCATAGAAATAGAGCCAAACACCGCTGGGCTTTCGCGTGGTTTTAAAATGGCCGCTGCCTTGTGGTCGACATACAAACGACGACCACCCTGAATTCATTTAATTGAGAAGTGTCTGCGGTTAACCACAACGTTGGGATCAATAGGTTAACCAGCAGCACACTTCTCTCCTGGGTGGTGTAAGGAAGTGAAATGGTTAACTCTTTTTGCTTTATATGCTTTAAAATAATGTTTGAAATAATTATGCTGACTTTGGCAGATGTATTTTGTACCAAGGTCTTTCCTCTACAGGATGTATGACCTTCCTTGACCTTAGGATGTTCCTGTCTCGTCTTCATCCAAATGCTTATCTTTTTCATGTCCGACAAGTATGTACTATTAACCACAAGGACACTATAGACTTCACTGCTTGCATGAGAAATTGTGTATAAATGCTAGCCCTGAAAATATACTCATTGAGAACTTGTTATGCACTCTTTCGTGTCTGTGTGTCTTATTTGCTAAACAAGATCTCCCATCAATTGATGTGGTGATCGAAGGAGCGAGAATCGAGGGGAGTTGAGTCCAGAACAGCATTTATCCTTTCAGCTTGGTGTCTAGAAGTGGGATCAGCAAAACCATTGGGTGAGTAGCCTTTTTGTGTCTTATTGACGCTAATTGTCTATGACCCCCTTTGGTTTAGTAAGTCTGTATCCAGTAGAAAGGAAAGGTATAAGGACTTAGTTATATTGAGACTGTAAATAGGTCTCCGGTTTATTAGACATTTGGTCTAAATATATATAGGGTTTTGGTAACCCAGGTTAGTATCTAAGATAGATACAGGGTATCTCAGGTAGATACAGGTTTTGAGACTATAAAGGAGTCTCCGGTTTAAGGACTATAGGTGTTCTAGGGAACACGGTTTATAGATCTAGAATAACCCAAACTTCTCGTTCCTTTGGTCACCCTGTGTCTGCTTTGTGTTTATTTTGCTTGTTAAGTAGAGACACACTATTGGTAAGTAGGTAGTGTCTCTACCCTGAGCCAGAAATATGGGAAATAATCAGTCTATTTCTTACCCTTTACCCCACCCAGGGGAGTCATGTCTAAATTATGTTACTAGAATAGGAGCACAAGGAGGATTTCTTACAATCCCCTTTGTGTCAAATTTAGCAGGATGGACAGAGACTATGAAGTCATCTGATCCTTTTCCCAGGTCTGGGGCTAATGATGATTTCCATATGAATATGATTCGAGGATTGTGTTTGGGAGATAGGAAGTCATGGCCGTGGTATGGTCCTGATCCAGATTGGGATAAGGAATATATGAAAGCAGGAGGTGAAAATTGGTTGCTGATAGCCCCTCATTGGTTTCCTTGTAGTGTAACAGGAAAGGTTTTAAAGGGAGCTAAGAAACACCTGGCTAAGAGAAAGGGAACTGTTGACAGTAATACTATTTGCTTTTCTATAGAAGCCCCTCCAGAGAATCTATATCCACCACCAACTACCCAGTCAGTCCCCGGCCATGCCCAACCACAACCCCCACCTCCCTATAAAGCAATGTATCCTGCTGTACCTAATGCCCCCTCAGAGGATGATATAGAAGATATTTCTGTTGCTGCAGCTGTTAATTCACAATCACAGCAATTACAGGAATCATCATCTACACCAGATTCTGATATAGAATACCCACCGCCACCTCCTTGTACAATTAAATTAACAGTACAAACAGGAGTTAAACTTAAAAGTGGCAAAGTGTTAAAATCATATGTACATAAGCAGGGTGATGATGATGATGATGTAGAGATGCCAGAATTAGAAGGTGCTGATCTTACTGCCCCGTTTATGACTGTTGGTAATCAGTTAATAATGAAACCCATTAATCCCGGAGAACTCAAGGACATTATTCAAGGTGCCCCAAACCCCCGTACTAATCCCTCTGCATGCCTAATGTATCTGAAAAGAATGTGTTTAGGACAGAACATGACACAGATAGACATACAGTTAATTATAAATGGAATATTAGGGTATGATTCAGATTCTGGTTGGAATTGGTCTAATGTACCCTCTATCAGTGAGACAGACAACGGTACTGGAGTTGGAGTGGCTGGCAGTGATGGTGTTTATGAGTTTAGTACTTCAGCAGGATGTGCTAAAATGTGGGATGAGGTGGAAGCTGAAATGTTGAGATTATGGAAGAATAAGCAGTCTATATCCACTGCTTTGGCATGTAAGCAAGGTGCAAAGGAAGAGATTGGTGTTTTTGTAAAGAGATTTTACAAGTGTTGGAAGGATGAGGCAGGTTTGAAGTCTGGAGATGATATGGATCTCCTTAAAATACAGTCATGCCTTGGTAATATGTTGCCACAGTATTCTTTGCTTGTGAAACAGTTGATTTCAGACTGGGCCAAGTTGGGTGGCTCAGATTTTCTTACCAAGGTTATTGAGAAGGAAAATGCAGGTTGTTTTGATTTAAGAAAGGATTCAGGAAGTAAGGTTGCTTATTATGCTCAGGGATTGCAACACTGTCCACCTACACAGGCCCGAGAGAGAGGATGGGATGGAGCACATAGAGCCTGTGGAAGGGGTGGTCAAAGAGGGGCAAGGGGATGGAGACAGGGAAATCATGGTTATAGGGGCAGGGGTAACCAAGGAGGAATAGACAGGAACACTTGTTTCAACTGTGGCCAGCATGGCCACTGGAGGAATGAGTGTCCACACCCCAGGAAACCCCAACAGCCCCAACAACCCCACAATTATCAAAATACGCCCGGTAGGCAAGAACAACACCAGGCCCACTCCCAACACCACTGGCCAGCACTTCCCTCTCCCCCCCCCCACTCCAGCAAACCCAAACTGCATTAGGGCCATTCACAGGTACCACTGACCAGCACACCCATCACATCCCATGGCCCCAATAGGGCTGCCTTGAAGGTGACACTCCAACTTTTCCACTTTTGTCCTCTACTAATGATGATCAGCCTTTTTGTATTCTGGTCATAGAAGGTAGATCCTTGCCATTTTTGGTAGATACTGGAGCTACGTGTTCCAGTCTCTGTGATACCTATTATCAGGGGACAAGGGAAAAGTCTACACCTTCATTGGGTATTAATGGAGTGTCAACCCCCACTTTTGTCACACCACCACTGTCTGTTTTTTGTCCTCTTAATGGTTCTTCTACTGTGCACCCTTTTTGTCTAATACCTAAATGTCCTGTTAATTTACTGGGGAGGGATCTTCTTGGTATTCTGGGAGCTACTATTACTTGCACGCCCTCTGGTGGTATTGATGTGTCTATGTTGTGTTCTGAAACTATTGATTTGTCTGATGTTCCTTCTTCTGTGTGGGCTTCATCTAAGTTAGATGTAGGATTTGTCAACTGCACCCCTTATAAAGCCAAACTAAAACCAGCTGTAACTCCTATCTACCTTAAACAGTACCCCCTGTCAGAAGCCAAGGTTGAGGGAGTTCGCCCCATGATCCAATTTTTTCTAGAGCAGGGAATACTAAAGTCAGTAGTTTCCCCATATAACACACCTATTAATCCAGTTCCCAAAGGTAATGGTTATCGCTTAGTTCAGGATTGTAGAGCCCTGAATAGTTTAATTGTGCCCATTGCACCCATTGTCCCTGATGTGACATCCCTCATTACAGCCATTCCACATGATGCCACTTGCTTCACTGTGATTGATTTAAGTAATGCATTTTTTCTATACCTATTGATCAAGAGACACAGCTACTTATGGCTTTTACTTTTGAAGGCTGTCAGTATACCTGGACACGTTTACCCCAAGGCTATGTGGATTCCCCAGCCGTTTATTCGCTGGTACTCCAACATACTCTAAAAACATGGACCCCCGGTCATGGTTCCGTCCTTTTGCAATATGTTGATTACTTATTGTTATGTAGCCCTAGCTATGAGGCAAGCACTGTGGATACTGTCAGTTTGCTCAAATACTTAGCAACTGTGGGTCACAAGGTTGCAAAACACAAAATGCAATTGTGTAAATCAAAGGTTGATTACTTAGGTTTTGTTCTGGCTTCAGGCACCAGACAATTGAGTCCAAAACGTATTGAGGTCATTCAGAGGATTCCTAAACCCACTACTCGGAAGGAGTTGCTCACCTTCCTCGGCATAATTAATTACTGCCGCCAATGGATCCCTGAATGCTCCCATTATGACTCAATCCTAAGGGAGGCTGTACGTTCTGACAGCCATGAAAATGTCTGCTGGTCACCAGACATGCTAGCTGCGTATATTGCCCTCAAAGTTGCTATTGTACAAGCCCCGGCTTTAGGACTACCTGTGTATTGTAAACCATTTCATTTGTATGCTCGGGACAACTGTAAAACCATGGCCGCGGTCTGTGCACAAGAGCACGGAGGCGGTATGCGTCCCATAGCATTCTTTTCCAAAGTAGTTCCAGCTCCGGTACAGGGTATGCCGGCGTGTCTCAGAGCATTGGCAGCATGTGCAATGGCTGTTGAGACTGCTACTACTATCACACTAGGGCATCCTACAATACTCCATACCAGTCACCAGGTTACTCAGCTTATAAAAAATCTCACCACACAACACATGACAGCCCAGCGCTTAAGTGGTTATGAGATTATTCTTCTTAATACCCAGAATCTGTCTATTGTTTATAGTCCTGTTAATTCTGGTCCTATGTCTGTTTTGCATGCTATTCTCACTTCTGCATCTGACTCTGTGTCTATAGCATCTGAGCCTCATAATTGCATTGAACAAATACATATTGCCACATCTCCCAGAGCAGACCTCTCCTCCACAGCACTCAGTGGCCCGGATGTGACCACTGTCTTTGTGGATGGCTCTTGTACCAGACCAAATGATGGTACATACCTCACAGGCTATGCTGTGGTACAGCTACCTGATAAAATCATTGAAGCTGACACTATTTTCCAGCCGTCTGCACAAGCTGCAGAACTCATTGCTCTCACACGTGCCTGTCAGCTTTTCTCAGGGCAGCGAGTGAACATTTACACAGACTCACGATATGCTCATGGGGTAGTGCATGATTTTGGTGTGATTTGGAAACAAAGAGGCTTTGTAGGAGCCGATGGAAAAGCCATTTCACACACAAATCTCATCCAATCACTCCTAGATGCTATCCTACTCCCATCTGAAGTAGCTGTTATCCACTGCAAGGCACACACTCTGGGTAGTGACGACATTTCCAGAGGTAATGCCTTGGCTGACAAAGTGGCAAAAGAAGTTGCAGCCAAGACTCTTTACTATGAAATGTTTCCTGCTATGCTCACACCTCCCACATGCCCTACTGACAGTTTGCTTTTGCAGCTCCAAGCCTTTGCAACGCAATCTGACTTTGATTTTTGGATTAAACAAGGTTTAGAAAAAGATCAGAATGATCTTTTCTCTAGAGAGGGGAAGATAGGCATACCTGAAGCCAGCTGTTTTATCTTTATCAGTCAGGCCCATGGTCCTGGCCACAAGAGCATAGCAAGTACCATCCAATTCCTCATGAATTCATTTTATATTAGGAATCTCAGGCAGCATGTACAGTCTTTTGTTAGATTGTGTGAACCATGTATGAGAACACATCCGAATATTCCACACAAATCACAGCACGAACATTTGCCCCCTCCAGCTGCTCCTTTTACACACTTACAGATTGATTTTACTCATGTACCCAAAATTGGTAAGAAACAGCAATACTTACTGGTCATAGTTGATCAGTTTAGTAGATGGCCTGAGGCCTTTGTGACATCTAGGGAGGATGCTAGGATGGTAGTGAAGATTCTTGCTACTGAAATTATTCCCAGGTATGGCTGCCTTCTGCAGATTAACTCTGATAATGGCCTGGCTTTTGCTAGTAAGGTTACCCAGGAACTTGCTAAATTCTTGCAAGTTACCTGGAAGTTTCATATACCCTATCATCCACAGAGTTCAGGGGTAGTTGAAAGGATGAATAGGACCATTAAGGAGAAGCTTATGAAAGCTACTGCAGGAACATGGGTAAATTGGACAAAATATCTTCCAGCTATTTTAGCTGAGATAAGAATGACTCCTCACAAGGTGACTAAATTATCTCCATTTGAGATTCTGATGGGACGACCTTTTCCCACACCCTGGGCCAGGGAACCGCTTGTTATAATGTCTGGGGATTTAAAGCTAATACAAGAACAATATGTACAGGAATTGTTGATAAAACTGAATGGTATATATGGCAATGTTTCTTCGCAGTTTCCCTTACCTTCACAGGAACCTACTCATCCATACCAGCCCGGTGACAAGGTGTATATCCGTCAGCTGAATAGGACCAAGAAAGGAGGATACCCTTTCGGACCACCTGCTACTGTGATTGCTGTAACCAGAACCGCTGTCCTCACAGATTCCCACGACATCTGGATTCACGCATCCCGAGTGAAGCTGTGTCCAAAGAGGGGAACAAAGGAAGACAACACCACTCCTCACTCGGAAAGAGAAGAATTTCTCCTCAGCGAAGCATCATGGCTTTCACACCATATCGTAGATTGAGAGGATCATACGAACCTGAGACCAAGATTATGTTGTGCATATGCTTTCTGGAGTTGTTATACTCCCTCTGATATTATTCCTTGAATGCCATTATGAGTACAAGTCAATGGGAAGTTTGAAACCTGTTTGTTTCTGGAGAAATGACTCTGACATGATGAACAATTCTTCAATACCCCAAGCCCAATTAGGCCTTAGCCCCTCATCTAGCACTCGTCACACACGCTCCCTCAAGAACCTTTCTCCACCACCTATCTATCAGCATGTAATATGCAAGCACTCATTGACTGAACACATATGGATGAACTGGATAAATAATAATCCCTATAAGTACCAGTTACCCATATGGAATGTGTCCACAGCTAATGAAACCGATGCATTATGTTTGTTTGAAGGTTCACGGAAAATTGTTAGATCTTATAACGCAGAAATGTGCACAGTTAAGGTTGCTAATTACACCAGCATCTGTGCTACCTTATTTAATATAAGTTCTGATGGTAAGAAAAAACCACCTAAACAGGTTTGGGATATATATTATAAGAAAATTAGTAAGGTTGCATATCAATGTAAACAGACAGGCCTTATTATTTTTAATAATGATTATACAACTGGTACCATTAATTGGAAAAGGGGACAAATGTTAGTCATTATGAACGACACTGCGATTGAGAACTGTACACTATCTTATATTTTTACACCTTATTACTGTCCTTTATCCTCTACCATAGAACCAAAAGTCAACCACGACACACACACACCTATTCCGTCCACATGTGTTAATACAACTGCCTTCTTACAAGCTGTACATGTGTCATTAAAAATCACTACTCCTGTTGTAACAATATGTAACACAGCAAACAAAAGGCAGAAAAGGGAATGGTATGACACACTGTTAGGAGGTGCTGGAACCACTATGGGTATACTAAATAGTATAGACATGGAGACCCTCAAGAATAAGTTAAACACGGCCAGCATGCATATAGGGACTGGTTTCCATGCTACTGCAAACTGGGCTCCAATTGTTGTTAAATCACAGGTTACAGGATTGGATTTAGATACATCAATGTATAACTATTTAGGTAATTTAACTGTTGCAACTATGAAATTCACTACAGATCTCGGTAACTGGAGTACTTGTGCCATCAGGTATTTATGGATGCAACAACAAAGACTGGCATTAGAAGACACACTAATGATTCCTAAACTAGAGAAGATTAGAGGGATGCTTAACCTCACAGATAATGAATGGTTACTTCTGAAACCCCAATCCACTAAATGCAATGAATGGTTAACTGGTAATGTTTCACATTTTTCATGCTCATGCTATTTTACACTATATCATACATCATCAAAGGATGTTAAATTAGCTTGTCAATTTAACACATTACCAGTACCAGTTTATGATCTCTTTACCAGGAATTTAACCTGGTGGGCACCCACATACACAGGGGACTATATTTTCCCCAAAGATAATATGACCTATTCCCTTAAACACTGTGTTCTCACTGACAAAGGATATGCATGTCGACACTCGTCCCCTATTTACGAACCATGCTTACTCCAAAATGAACTTAACAAGTGCATATGGCACATATATCCTGAAAATTATTTTACCATGGCTGAAATAAGCACACGACATATCTGTTTGGCAACTAACCTCCCTACAAAGATAATTACTAGTAATACAAGTATTAATCTACATCTCCCCTTTTCAGGATGTTTGACTAATGTTACCTGGTTAGATCTTAATGACACCCAATATTATTTCAGCGACACAATCACTTTAGACAAACATATTAATGCCCTATTAGGCTCTCTGCCTTTTAAAGATTACCATCTACCTCTTGAGACTATTGTCTCCTTAATGAAAGGAAAACAAAATATGTTTAAACATCTTGTTACACATAATGATGCTATAGTACACACACAGGTAGCCACACATATCCTAAAAGGAGAACTCCTTAAGGTGAGTTCACAAATTCAGAATGATTTAGCCCATCATTGATACGATGCTTTTACAGGTTGGTCCCCTACTGGATCCCAGATAATGAAATCATTCTTCTATCCTCTTGTTATTATAGTCCTGATTGTATTGGGTATGATTTTATATAACTGCCATCTTACTTGTACATTGAGGAAGAGAATACAGAAATTAATCCATAATGCAGAACAGAAACAACTGGAAATTCTCCTCTCTGCCACTGGAGGCTATCAACCAATCTTTAAAACTGGGCCTTAGGAATTACCACATGGGAATCGAGGTGAAGAAATTAATGAAAGTCCCGCAGGGAGTGACTAGCACCCCTGAAAATACCATGTGGAGGTTTCTCTGACCTGGGAAGATCTTATCAATGATATGAGCAAATTAATTGCTCAAAGAGGGGGATGTAAGGAAGTGAAATGGTTAACTCTTTTTGCTTTATATGCTTTAAAATAATGTTTGAAATAATTATGCTGACTTTGGCAGATGTATTTTGTACCAAGGTCTTTCCTCTACAGGATGTATGACCTTCCTTGACCTTAGGATGTTCCTGTCTCGTCTTCATCCAAATGCTTATCTTTTTCATGTCCGACAAGTATGTACTATTAACCACAAGGACACTATAGACTTCACTGCTTGCATGAGAAACTGTGTATAAATGCTAGCCCTGAAAATATACTCATTGAGAACTTGTTATGCACTCTTTCGTGTCTGTGTGTCTTATTTGCTAAACAAGATCTCCCATCAATTGATGTGGTGATCGAAGGAGCGAGAATCGAGGGGAGTTGAGTCCAGAACAGCATTTATCCTTTCAGGTGGGAGTCCGTTCGGTAGGTTTGTTCGGGAAAAAACAGTCATTCGTATGGCTGGCTATAGGAACCAGCCAGTTACATGAACAGGGCAAAATAGACGAATCCACCAGCAATAAGCAGACAGATGGTTCTGTCACAATTACCCCTAAATCCATTTCCTCAGATGTTAAGGTTAGGACTCTATCAAATATTTTTTTTTGTAAATCTGTTTATTTAAGAAGAAAGAGGTTTACAGAAAGAATTCGGCTCACAGGCCTACTTAGAAGACAAGAGTTTTGTAGTGATGTTTCTATATTTTGAGTCAAATTTTTTGTGCCCACATAACCACGTCTCCTGTCGGGATTTAATTACAGCGATAAGTATCGTACATAAGGCGTACATAAGATAACAGAAAGGTAAAGTGTGTAGAGTGACAACCGTGGTAGATTTGGCATACGTACATATATATAACATGTGACATTCTTAGTGCTTGTAAGCAATCTTTTAACACAAAGCGTAGCTCTAAGTCGGATGCAGTTTTAAGACACAGTATACCTTGTAGCAGGAGTGTCTAGTAATAGGCTGGACATATTTGTCTAGCTCCTCGTGTGTGAGAAGCGTAGGTGCCTTGATCTTAAAGTTAGGTTAAGTTATCCTATGGGTATGTTCCCATGTCACGCATTTCGATGTACCGATAACAGTGCCAGTATTATGTATTCCTTTTTTGGCTTTCTTGGCTTTTGGCTCCCCCCCTTCTCTCCCATCCCCTAGTCTTGTGTGTTGTGTGTTAGACATGTAAGAGGGGTTAGCATGGGAAAGAAAGTAAGAGAGGGAGAGAGGAGAGCAGCGGCCCTAGCAGATTCCCCCTCCCCCCCGTGTCCCCATCGCGCACCCCGCGGGCGCACAATGGTCATAGTCGTGTGAGAGAAGGGAAGTCTCGGTTGAGTCACTTGTTTTCAGCGGTACGGTGTGTGTGTGGGAGGGTCGGGTCGGTGAGCCGATGTTGGTTCCATCTGCCCTAGGAATATGTCTCCAGTGATGGGGTGGTCCCAACCCCCAGAGCTTTGGTGGAGTAGGTGCGTGATCTGTCTCTCTGTCCACCGTCTCCCCCTCCCCCCCACGAGATGTTCAGTGCCCTCTAGCCTGGTATATGAACCACGGTTGCCACATCTCCGCGTGTCTGGTCCCCCGACCCGTCAAGGACGCCTGTAGTGCTTCCGCCAACTGTTTAGCCATTCTTCAACCGTGGGGGCCTCAGTTCGCTTCCAGTATACAGGGATAAGGGCTTTGGCTGCATTCAGTAGGTGACGTAGGATGGACTTCTTATATCCAGAGATGGATCGTGAGGTGATGTGCAGGAGGACCAGTTCCTTGGACCATTCCGTATCCTCCCCTAGTATCTCCTTGATTTCAGACCAGATTTGTTCCCAATATGGGGTAATGAGTCTACAGTCCCACCATAGGTGTATAACTGTTCCTCTCTCCTCCTGACATCTCCAACATGTTGGTGGCGTCGTTGGGAAAATCCTGTGTAGGGCAACTGGTGTTCTATACCACATGGATATCAGCTTATAGTTTACTTCCTGATAATGGGAGCTGGAGGAACTCTTGTGTTGCCACAAGAGTGCTGCGTCCCACTGTGGTTGCGATATCGGTCCACCCATTTGGTCTTCCCATTGTCTCCTGAAGGTGTTGTTCGTTGTGGTAGTTCCCATCAGCAGGTGTTGGTAGAGTAGTGAGATTGCTTTGTCGAGCGTGGCTCCTCGTTGGCAGAGACCCTCAAACCACGTGAGGTCTCTATGTAGGTGTTCCTTGCGTGGGATGGATCTATAGTAGTGTGTTAGCTGTAGATAGCGAAGGGACGCCATGGGCGTAGTAGGTCTATCGGCCATTAATGTGCATAGGGGTCGGAGTTCCCCCTCTTGGAGAACCGTTCGAATCGGGATGTAGTCCCTCTTCTCCAGAAATATCCAGGCTTTGGCCGGGATGCCTCCCGCCAAGTTTGGGTTGGGAACTATGGGGAGCAGGGGACTAGGGATCGGGGACACATGAGTGGTTTTCCGTAACGTTGCCCAGGTCTTTAGCGTCTGTGTCGTCGGGTTCCCCGTTCCTTTGCCATTGCGACATCCGGACCCCCCTTGCCACACCGCCGCTTTAAGTGTGGCCCACGAGTCCCCTCCGTCCAAGACGACCCATTGTTTTGGGGAATCAGCCGCGTGCCACTCCAGGATTCGTTGAAGTGTGGCGGCTTGATGGTATCTTTTGAAGTCCGGGAGCGCCAGGCCACCCCCAAGTCTAGGTAGGCAAAGTATGTTGTGGCGCAGTCTAGGATGGTGGCAAAGTTATGTCGATAAAGTTCCTGCAGATGTGTGGTGATCCACACGCCAAGATATTTCATTTTCTCTGTGCACCAGCGGAACGGAAAGACTGTTCCCAATTCCAGGTATTCTTCCGGTGAAAAGGTTAGATTGAGCACTTCACATTTTGAAAGATTAAGTTTGAATCCTGCGATTTTCCCGTGGGTTAGAGATAAAGAAGAGAAGGTCGTCCGCATATGCGGCCACCTTGTGCTCTGTTTCCCTCCAATTGTATCCTGAGATGTCTGGGTTATGGCGTATCGCCTGTAATAGTGGTTCCAGGGTCATCGCGAATAGGAGTGGCGACAAGGGGCATCTCTGTCTAGTTCCATTATGGATTTCGAAGCCGGAGGTAAGGGCCCCATTCACCCGGATAGTTGCGTGTGGTTTATCATACAAGGCAGAGATCCACGTTAACATGTTCTGTCCTAGTCCCATGGCCCGTAGAGTGTCCATCATGTATGACCAATTAACACGGTCGATGGCCTTTTCGGCGTCCGTGGAGAGGAGCAAGATCTTGTCCCGCGTCTCCTGTGCCCTGTGTTGTATGGAGAAGAGGCACAGTGTACTGTCCCGCGCCTCCCTCCCCGGTATAAACCCCGTCTGGTCTGCATGGATCAGGCTTGGCAGTACACGTTGTAGCCTAGTTGCTAGTACCTTCGTAAGCAGTTTCGTATCCACGTTTAGTAAGGATATTGGTCGGTAACTGCTGCACTGTTCCGGGTCTTTCCCTGGTTTGAGCAGGACCGTGATAGTGGCGGCTAATGATTCCGCTCCGAATCTTTTTCCCCCGGTGATGGTGTTGTCCGCTGTAGTTAGTCGAGGTAGGAGAGTTGAGGAGAAGCATTTGTAATAACCTATGGAAAATCCATCTGGTCCCGGTGCCTTGCCCGCTTTAGCACTCTTCAAGGCTGCGGCCATTTCCTCAATGCTAATCGGTTCATCCAACGTATTCGCCGCTTCCAGGGATACACGTCTGCCTACGTTGTCATGTAGGTAGTCTTGAATAAGTGTATTGGCGCGGTGTCCCACCGGCGTGTCTTCAGGGCCATGTAGATTATACAGGGCGTGGTAATATCGTTGGAATTCATTGGCGATGTCCTCAGGAAATTGGGACACTTTCCCTGATTGTAGACGTATTTTATGTATCCGTGTGTGGGGGCATCACCTTTCAGGATGCGGGCGAGGTATTTGCCTCCTTTGTTAGCATGGATATAGAAAAAGTTCTTGGAGTGTTGTAGTGAGCGGTAGTATCGTTTTGTGAGAAGATCTTTCAATCTGCGCCGGGCATCTGTCAGGTCTTGTCGGACAGTGGCAAGTTGGGTTTGCTTGTGTTGGAGGTCCAGCTTCGAAATAGTTCCATATAGGTCTGCCATTTCCTGCATGGCTGCCTTCCTTCATCGGGAGGCTATTTTTATAAGTATGCCGCGAATGGTACTCTTGTGAGCTTCCCAGAGTACAATTGGAGATGTGTCTGACACATCATTTTCTGTGAAGTAAAGATCAAGAGCTCGTGTGATTTCACTTTCCACTTCAGGGTCCTGTAGCAAGGATTCATTCAGACGCCAAGTCCATGTTGCTGGTTTGAACAATGGCGATTCTAGTTCCACCGTTACCGGACCGTGATCCAACCACGTAGCGGGGTCGATTGCGGCCTTCTTCAGTCGCGACAAGCCTTCTTGTTGGATTAGTATGTAGTCAATCCGCGAGTAGCGGTTGTGGAGTGCGGAGTAGTGGGTGTAATCTTTGACATCCGGGTTGAGCACTCTCCAGCAGTCCACCAGTCCCAGGTTACCCATCGACTTACGTATCGAGTGGATGCTAGACATAGGTATACAACAATGTCCCGTGGATGTGTCCATCTGAGGGTCCAGCGGGGCATTGAGATCACCCCCCACAATGGGTGTGCCTTCCGAGAATCCACTCAGTTTGCTCATTGTTCTCCAAAGGAAGCGTGCCTGGTTTTTGTTGGGTACATAGATGGAAGCCAGGGTATACATTCTGTCCGCTATCGTGCCTTTTAGGAAGAGGAATCTCCCCAGTTTGTCAGTTACCTTATATAGTTCTTTGAAGTCCAGTTCAGCTGCAAGGACGATAGCGACTCCTGCTTTACGGGTCGTGGGATGATTGCTGAAGAAGTTGTTGGGGTATTGCCGGTTACGGAGTTTAGGTGCGGATCTCTCGAGGAAGTGAGTTTCCTGGAACATTGCTATGGAGATCCGTTTTTTCCGTAGTTCACGAAGTAGATGGGTGCGCCGTTCCGGCACGTTCAGGCCTCGACAGTTGAGAGCCATAACAGTGAGCGGAGCACTGAGGTACGCCATCGTCGATCTGCCAGCCAGGCAAGGACACGCGGAAATCCCAGCACCAGGTCCTATAGTACAATTAACGGGAGGTCCGTCCACGTTCCCTCAAAGTCACCCAGTAGTCAGTCCACAGTGTAGCCGCGGAGGTGGTGGGCCAAACGGCGTGGAATCTCCGAGTACACAGGGATCCCACCCCGCGACCGGTGCTATGTCAAGTCGTCAGTTGCGTAAGGTTGTGGGTCTATATACGTTGTCCTTATGGGGTAAGCGTAAAGCAAATAGGGTAGTAGGGGCGATAAGTGTACCCGCACGCGGGGCGCACCCTAGGGTCGGGGGGGGCGCCACAGGTCCGCCAAGGTAGGTTGTAGAGTAAGGAAAGTGCGTAGGTTAAAAAAGTGGGGAGTTATAGAGAATCCCACGTAGAGGTGACCCCGAGAAGGGGAAAGGAAAGTGTCCACCTCGGTCCTCCTTTGTGGAAAGGAGGATGTAGCCGTGCGACGGCAAGAGGTACCCGGGCCCACCCAGGTAGCCGGACCGGGGTGTGGGCCTACGGGAAGCTCCGTCATCTAGAACTATGCACGGCCCCTAGTAGGGGTTAGCAGCCCCGCCCCAATCCTTAATGGGGCCCCACTCCAATCCTTAAAGTGAGAGTGTTGTAACCGATCAATACTAACCAGCTCCTCTCCGCCAGCCCCCCAGCCTGGTGCCGGTATCAGTACATGGAAAGCCAAGCGTATAAACAATAGCATACATACATTTCAACATTGTAACATATGAAGACAGTATTCAGAGCCCAATCGGCTCGCCCCCACCAATGCCCCGTCCCCCATCCTCCCCAATTCCCCAGTCCTGGGTACGCCTCCTGCATCCTGGACGTTAGTCAATGAAAAACAAATAACGCATAAGCAACAGCATCACGTACATTAGTCATGCATACATGATATGATGTCATTATTATGATTTCCTTCTCCTTGCATTCCTCTCTTCCTTTCTCCTCCTCTTTTCCCTCCCTTTTCCCCCTCCCCTCCCCTCCTCTTTTCCTTGTTCCCGTCTCATTCCCTTTCCCCTTTTCCCTCCCCCCTTCATTTCCTTTTCTTACTTTCCCCCCATCGTTCTTCCTTCCCCCCTCTCTGCTTACTCTTTGTGGGGCAAAGGGGAGATATATGCAATGATGTGTCTGTGAAATATGGCCCGGGTGTATCCCATCTATGTCCCAATACTATCCCACTCCACATCTATCTAGGCTAAGTCCTCCTATCTGTTTCTGCGGGTGTGGTATGGCGAGTGCCCCCTACCCCTGGTTATGACAGCCCATCGAGCGACTATCTAGTATATAATGTGCTCTACCCATTTATCTGCTGTTACGTGTTGGAGGAGAAATATCACGTGGTGGAGTGTGGCTTAACTAGTGAGTGGTCTACGAGTTCCAGGGAGGGGCCGTGTATGAAGCTATTGATGTGTCTTATTCCCTGGGTGTCGTGTGGTTACTGTAGCCATTTATTCTAGGCACAAGACATGTAGATCATTGGGACCGAGCATAACCATTGGCTTGTGCTCAAGGGCAATGTCCTGTACCGTAAGACCGCGGTGAGCTTCTCCTGTGGTAGCAGCGTAGTGCAGGAAATCCAGCTCCTCGCTCGATGGAGACTCGTGCAGTGGTGTATGTTCCTCCCCTAAAAACTCGGCTCGTCGTGTCATCCAGGGCTTGTGCTATGTCGCCCTCATCCGCTTGTTACGGAGGCTCCACTCGTACCGCATAACAAGTGCCACCCGGTTTCCCCACCCCAAGTCCCAAGTGGTGGTAGGGCAAGCTGTGTTCAAACTCAGACTCGGCAGGGAAGAGAGGAGAAAAAAAAAAAAAAAAAGAAATATAAATGTACGTTACATCTGCGTTATTGAGCTGGGTAGGTCCCCAAATCCTCCAGTAGTGTAGCATGCTCAGGTATGCTTTGTGTCGTGAAAGCTATGGCAAGTGGAGGTCCTGCAGGTGGGGGTGAGGGCCAGGGAAACGTGCCCGGTGGGGGAGGTGGGCCGACCCCTTATTCTGGTGCCTCCGGGTTACATAGTTACATAGCTGAAAAGAGACTTGCGTCCATCAAGTTCAGCCTACCTCACATTTGTTTTTTGCTGTTGATCCAAAAGAAGGCAAAAAAACCCAGTTTGAAGCACAATTTTGCAACAAACTAGGAAAAAAAAATTCCTTCTTGACCCCAGAATGGCAGTCAGATTTATCCTTGGATCAAGCAGTTATTACCCTGCATCTGCATTGCGCTGGTCCCCATGGGGGTCCCCCTCCTCGCCTCCTGGGTGCTCTTTGCGGCTGGGGTCTCCCCCCCAGTGGGCCCAGAACCCAGTCAGGGACCGAGATATGCGGTAGATCCATTTCCTCTAGAAATCTCGGAATCTCCTCGGGCCAACGAATGGAGGTCCATCCATTCTGGTGGCGGGCCAACAAGGCAAAGGGATAGCCCCATCTGTATTGGATATTCCTCTCTTGCAGGGCCACTGTTATGGGCTTCAGTGCCCTCCTGCCTCCAGCGTAATGGGGGAAAGATCATTGAATAGGGATATCATTGCGTCCCTGAAATTCCAAGTAGGTCTGGATCTGGCCGCTTTCATGATGGCATCTTTGTCTCGGAAGGAACTGAGGCAGCAAATTATATCTCTCGGGTTGTCGTCTGATGACCTGGGGCGTAGTGCTCTGTGCGCCCGCTCATATCTGAATGTGTGTGGAGCATCCGCTCCCAGGATCATGTGAAAGAGGTCGTTTAGAGTGTTTTCAATAGTTTCCCCGTCAGATTCAGGGACCCCGCGTACCCTAATGTTGCATCTCCTCCCCCTATTGTCCAGGTCTTCTATTGTCCTCCTCATGTGTAGTAGCATTTCCCCTTGGCGTGCGAGGGCCGTATCGGTCACCTGCAGCCTTGTGGCCTGAGTTTCCTGAGAGTGCTCCAGGTCTTGTATGCGGCCTGTATGGGCAGTTACCTCTGACCGGATTCCTGCAATCTCGGCTCGCAGTGCATCTTGTATGGAGGTGGTGTGTACCAGGAGGTCTGCTTTTGTGGCCATAGCAGCAGCCATTGATCTGATCTCCTCCCCGATCCCCTCTAGTGTAGCGCCATGAGGTTCTCTGGGAGACGGCTCTGCCGGCGCCATTTTGGATTCGCTCGCCTCCCCGCTCATGTCGGCTTGGTTGTGGAGGAAACCATCCATCGGGCCGTGAGTGTGCCCTGTCTGGGAGCCCCTCGGGGTCTGGGGGGCATCGGTGCGGCGGTGGCGTCCCATATATGCTAAAAATAGCTAATTAATAGGCTGTGGTAGGTGCTGGCGGGTCGGAGCTCACACTCTATGCGTCCATCTCGTTCAGAGCTCAGGCCACGCCCCCCGACTCTATCAAATATTCTATACTCTGTCCTTGGGTTTTTACATCCAAGATGCATTATCTTGCACTTATCAGCATTAACCCCTTAGTGACCAGACCACTTTTAAATTTTCTTACCGTTAAGGACCAGGGCTGGTTTTACATTTCTGCAGTGTTTGTGTTTAGCTGTAATTTTCCTCTTTCTCATTTACTGTACCCACACATATTATATATCGTTTTTCTCGCCATTAAATGGTCTTTCTAAAGATGCCATTATTTCCATCATATCATATAATTTACTATTAAAAAAAAATATAAAATATGATGAAAAAATTTTAAAAAACCCTTTTTTTGAAACTTGACCCCCAAAATTTGTAACGCATCTATAACCGCCAAAAAACGCCTGTGCTAAATAGTTTCTAAAGTTTGTCCTGAGTTTAGAAATACCCATGTTAACATGTTCTTAGCTTTTTTTGGAAAGTTATAGGGCTATACGTCCAAGTAGCACTTTGCTATTTCCAAACCATTTTTTTTTCAAAATTAACGCAAATTACATTGTAACACTGATATCTGTCAGTAATCCCTAAATAACCCTTCACATGTATATATATTTTAAAATAAGACAACCTAAGGTATTAAACCTGGGGTATTTTGACTCTTTTCATGCAACCATTTTACCATCAATCTATAATAATTGGTGATTTTTTTTTAAATTTAAGAATACATGTACTGGGAACTTTAAAGGTTACTGCCAAAGAACACCCCAATATGTGTTCAGCAACATCTCCTGAGTACAGTGATACCACCCATGTATAGATGTACAGGCTGGCACAGTCAAAGGGGGAAATATTTAAATTACATTAGCCAGGATAGTAAGGGCTGTCCAGCCCTGCCTTTAACATGGTTTCCATTACTTTCCCCACTACTGAAATAAGGCTTACTGGCCCATAGTTGCCTGACTCCTCCCTACTACCTTTCTTGTGAATGGGCACAACATTCGCTAACTTCCAATCTTCTGGGACTACTCCTATTAACAATGACTGGGTAAATATAAATAGTTAATGGTTTTGCTAGTACACCACTAAGCGCTTTTAACCCCCTAAGAACCGATGGCGGTTCAGGACTGTCATTGGTAACATCCCCTTGAGGACCGGTGACGGTCCTGAACCATCATCACAGAAAACAAGCAGGGGGAGTGATCGGAGAGCCTGGCAGTTACTATCTGCAAGGCATGCGAGGCAGATAGTAACAGCCAATTACACCGTGTGAGCGACACGCAATTGCTCACAATTGGATGCTGTCAAAGTGGGTGTTACAAACACTCATTTTGACAATGATCTCTGCCCCCTCTCCTCTGTAGCATTTTGTGAGGGAGAAAGACAAAGAACATGATATATTGTTGCCAGCAGTGTTGCCAGAACCTTTGAAAGAGTAAACAATTAATACAATTCCCTTTTAACCCATTCCCTGCCAAATCCTGTTACAGCAGTGCATTTGTGCTGTCTGTATTTTATTTTTTTGCCCTTAAGAGTTAATTTTTAATTTTTGTTAAAAGGCTGTGTTTTAGTCTTTTTTTTTAATAAGCAGCAAACTTTCAGTTTCCTTCCCCCAAATCTCCATTAGATTCTTTTTGCAGGCGTTAGTTTAGGGATTGCCGCTAAAGGAAGTTTTAGTCTGCTTTGGTCTGTTTTAGTCTGTATTAGTAGAGGGTTAGGTAGATTGTAAAAAAAAAAAGAATATTTTTTTTTTTTTAAATTGTGTGTTAGTAATTTGTTAGTTTAGTGTCAGTTAGGTAGTGTGTTGCTGAAACATGCAGCGCATGTACAGTTTGGAGAAGGCATATGCCTTCTTGGCGTCCGACTCTGACACCACTGACACTGCGTCTAATTTTGACCCAGGTCAGTTTTCTGACACGTCTAGTGACATGTCATCTGTGTGTGGGCCGCCTGCAAAAAGTAACTGTGCTTTCTCTGCTATGCCGAATGTGGAGGAGGAGTGGGTACCTCAACAGTTAGCTGAGCCCAACATCCCCCCTTTTTAGTGCCAATGCAGACATTAATGTCAATGTGCATATTTGGAGTTATTTTTAGGGGATACCCTCTGGGAGGAGATTGCTTCCTAATTTATTAATACGAATCTGGGTAGCTATGAAGTCGGGGAACATGTTTGGCATCCCACAGATGTCCCTGAACTGAAACAATCCTGGGCTCTTACTATGCTCATGGGGATTATAAAGAAGCCATCAATTTGCTCTTACTGGAGCACCAACCCTATCTGTTCTAGTCCAGTGTACTCCCAAATCATGTCTAGAGCAAGATATGAGTTGCTGCTCCGATATTTACATTTTAATGACAATACCCTCTGTCATCCCAGAGATTACCCCCAATATGATAGGCTTGATGAAATATGCCCACTGGTAGACCATCTTCAACACAAATGTTCTGAATAGTCAAAAAAAAAAAAAAAAGGATTCTGACTATTATGGAATGATTAAGAGGGAATAAGACAAATAGTTAAACAAAGCTCTTAAACTGGAAAAACAGGGTCTCATCAAATCCCATACATGTACATAGAATTAAATATCAAAGAATATCCAGGAGCTTTTATTAACAGTAGTATTAACACATATATTGTGTAAATATAATTAAAGAAGTATAAAGAGCAAAATGATAAATGTATACATACATACAAACCTCTAACTTGCTAAAATGACTTTTGCAAGATTGAACGAGGTTAATATGAATATAATTTACATTCATATAAGAAGGTCATAAAAAGAATAACAAAAAAGAAATATATATGCAAAAGACAATGACTTTGATTATAGGCTTGTTAGTATAGCAGACTAACACCCTGATAGATAGTTCAAGGCAGCCAACTTGGATAGCTGCCAAAAGAGATAGCCGTCCTCACCGGCTCTGCAGAATCAACTTGGAAGGAGACTACAACAATCCTGAAACATCCAGACGAATTTTTCATTTTCTCTCATATATATAAGCCCGTGTGGAATTTTTTCTATTGAGTATTTTTAAGTTTTTTTGGATTATTTCATATTATTAATTTTGATGTGAATAAAGTTTATATTTTTAATACATCAACTTCTATAAGCATCTTTCTGAAACA